AGCTTTTTCACGTGGTATGCGATGGCATTGCAGAAGTCATTGTCACAGGGTATTATGCAGGCCAGAGGGTGTGTATTCAGAAAGGGACTGGACAAATCGATGGTGGGAAAAAACATCAATGGAAATGCAATGTCATGGTCCAAATGCAACCTCCACAGTCCCTAGAGTGCAGATTACCAAGGCTAGGTGGGGCAGTCTGGGACATAAAGCCCTCTTTGCTAGAAGGCTTGTGCAGCCCTACCATAGGTAAGGTTGGTTGGAGAAAGATGGTGATGAGCAGAGAGAGAATACAATATAGCAGCAGATTTATACATAGAGCCCACCAGGCTTTGCTCCTGGGAGAGAAACCCCTGTCTGAAATCTGGCACTGCTTGTCAAAGTGTTTGCAGCAGGTGGCATGAATTGGGTCTCTCTGTTGCTGCAGGTATCTGGTTGTGCTGCTGGAACCTGAAAAAGTTCGTAAGTGAAGCCTATGCTTTAGTCCCCCTCACCAACCAACTCAGACACCAAATAAAGCTATTTCTACCCATCACTGTTGGCCCAAAGGGCAGAGATCTGCCATTCAGCTCTAGAGATCCACCACGGCACCACAGGCAGGCCAGTACTGCTCCTACATTTGGGACTTGGGAAGGGTCAGTTTACTTCTGTAGTACTCCAGGGAGCAGCAGATGAAATAACCCGTGTTTGTGAAGTCCAGCACCCTAGAGTCAGACAATAATGCTAAACCACCTGGGAGCCTGTGTGATGGTAACTTGTCTTCTTGTGCAGCTGCATTCTTTGTTACAGCATCACTTTTTAAAATTATTTAAAGGATGACAATCTGCAATTACCTGCATGAGAAAGTGATTTCCAAGTACAGATGGCTCTTTAATGTATCAGGAATAAGCCTAGGAAGTTCCAGTGACTGGAAGCTGAAGCCAGACACATTCAGTTGAGAAATAACATACTTGGAAGCTAATTAACCATGGGAGCAATTTGCTTAAGGTTGCAGGAGGTGCTCCATGACTGGTAAGTATTGAATCAGGACAGGAGATCTATTTCAAAGACGTGCCCACACTCAAGTGAAAGTTGCGGTCCTGAGACATGTGGCTATGGGAGATGCTCTGGGAGAGGTCAGGTTTGAGCCATGGTTTCACAATACAGAGTTTTGGGGTCAGTAACATCTCGTGGTGTTGCAGAACTCCCACCCAATTCTCCCACAGCTCATTCCTGACTTGTGAGGTGCTGTCCCACCTTGTGCCAGTATTACCATTTCTGGGACAGAGCTGTGAACTGTTTGGGTGACTGAACAATGTTAAATTACATTTTTCATAGTGCTTATTTAAAAACATGCTTGAACCTCAGTTATATCTCATTGCAGGACCACAAAAGTAGTAATGCTGGCATGGGATGCAGGCACACAGGCAGCTGCAAGGTTAAGGAGATGGACATACCCAAGCTCAGTGGCTTTGTCTCATCCTTAGTATCACCAACTCCCTGCCTGAGGCTCCTGTTCCTCCATGTGCCTCTGATGTGTTTTGCTTTCCCACCTAGAGATGCTGCCCCAGCAGATTTTGAGGACTTTTACATTTGCCCAGGTTTCTGCTGTGTGGAAGTCCAGCCTGGGACACTGCAGAGACATGCCCTGGGGCTGCCACCCATCTGAATTATGGAGTATCTCTACAGGAGTTACCCACATTGCCTGCACAGCATGGGCTGAGTTTGTCCCACCGCTCCTGGCTGGGATTTACTACACATGCGCTGTGTGGTCAATTGGTGCTCACAGAGAAAGCCCAATGTGTAGGAAAATGGCAGATTTACTGCGCCAGCCCAGCCCATCTGTGCAGCACATGTGCAGGGATCTGAGCCCTCCCGGAAGCGTCTGGTTTGCTCTGCCTGTGCTGTGCTGCACACACGGACATCACAGTCCAGGAAATCCCAGATAAAAATGTGCCAGTGCTGGCCGTTTGGACCATATGGGTCTTCACTGGCCTCAAAATCTGTGGTTTGAGCACCACAGGTGCTACAGGAATAAAGGGATTAGTAACATCTGTATTCCTAAACCGGGGATATTCAGATACCTGTGCACCACTGCGTCTCCACCTGCCCTGGGCTTTCATCTCTTGCTCGCGCAGTACGGCTTGTTGGCTGCTGAGCTGCTCTAGGCTCCCTTTGGAGGGTAGAGACCATTGTCCAAGTCATCTGGGGTACTCCAGGCACAACTCCACCATAAGGCAGAACTTGAAGTTTTACCAGGAACTTTTGAACTTTATCCTGAAAAAATCTCAATAAAAGGAAAAAGAAAAAAGGGAAAAAAAAAAAGAAAAACAGACATGGAAAGCGAAATTTGAGCTAGATATGCATCTTTTATGTTAAAATTTGAAAATTACCAGAACTAACCAATTTATTTTTGTCTTATGGAGACAGAAGAGCAACACTAAGCAACCCAGGGCCTTTTCTGTCCTGCTTTTGGTCTGCACTGGCTTGTCTGAGTGATACCCGTGTCCTACAACAAAATTTTCTCATGAGCTTTTTAGCAACAGTCCAATTAGCTTCCGAGAGATATGGGAGATGGGATAGATGGATGTCCTGCTTCTGCTGCTACAGGGATGCTGGAGGTTATACCATGGGTTTAGTTTGCTTTTCAGTCCCTTCCCAAAGACCACTAGTGGGTGTGTCTGGAGCAGGGCTGTACACACTGTGGAAGTGCCGAGGAAAACTGGAGAGCTTCTTCCTCTGAGCTTGGTCTGCTCATGGTTTTGGACTATGAGTGGAGAGCGCGAAGCTGAGCCTGAAGAGGTGATTTAGTAAAGACCAGGATGGTTTATTTTGCAGCCAGAACATACAGCATTTGAGGTTAGAAAGCAAGATGGGCTAATCCTCAAACCCAAGTGCAATATATCAATCTTCAAATCCAATATAGATTGAATCCATAATTTCAGTATAGAGATCATTAGTTCATGCTTGTACACTGCATGCATTATATTTTAGGCAGCAGTTCCTGTGCCAAGCATTTAAAACCTGGGAGTTGGGTTTTTTGATCCTTTTGGCATATTTCTTCACACCTAGGTTTGTAGAACAGCAGCCTCTCCTTAGCAATATTTGCAAAATCCCCTTTTGGCCAGATGACCAGTGTGGGTGGCAAGTAGCTCACACTTCTCCCTCTGGCTGCACTGGGTCTGGTCCAGCTGGTCTCCTCACCCTGCTCAGCTCGGAAGGAACCATCCTCAAACCACTTCCCTGGCACTGGTATCCTGGGCCTGACCCTCAAGAGAAATGGAAAAGCATTTTTGAAAGGTGAACCCAGGATCTCAAGCTCACAGCACTGCTAGGCAGCAGAATCAGGGATGCATCAGTGCTACAGGGTTTTACAGCATGTTATTGTTTTTCCATTTCTAATTGTACCTCTTCCCTCTCTGTCTGCAGGGATTTATTACTGCTGCCTTTGCCAGTGTATTCTTATGCTTCACAGGGTCCAGCTGCCCTTTTGTCCCTGTCTATAATTGACCATCATCATTAATTTAAAGTCAGAATGATTGTTTCTGAGCTATATTTAGCCTGAAGCTTGATGTTCTTGTTTTAGATCTGATGAGAGGCTCGTGTGCTGGAAAGCTTGCTGCTCATCCCTGCCATGACAACTAATCTGATAAAAGGTCTCATCTCTCCTCACAAAACTTCCTTTCCCCACCCTCGGTCATGGGGCTGTCCTGCGGGAGTTGGGGTTGCAGGACCCAGGGCCACTCATCTCCGTGTCCTGGTGGATCAGGACAGCTGTGTGATTCCTGTTGTGTTCCTGGGATCCCCATGCACCAAAGAACAGACTGAGACAATACAGCATCAGTTTCTTTCTCATCACGTTCACTTGCTCAAGCAAATGTCCCTGGCCATGTGCATACATTATCACTAACAAAATGCATCAGCCACACAGCACACTTTACACTACCGAACAGAAAAGTGTGCCTCTGCAGTTGGTGTGTTTTCATATCTGTGCTTCTGAGAGTAAGAATATAGTAGCTGCTTAGGCTTCCTCATGGGAACTGCAGTTTTCCAAGGTGCAGTTTGGGTTGCTGGACCAGGGAGCCAGGGAGGGCCCATCTTGGATGCCTGTGCTCTAGCAAGCCTGTGCTAGAGGCTGCTGCTTTGGGGGTTGCATATGGTCCCCAAGATTAGAAATTGCTTTGGTTTTGGCATTAGCAGTGTAGTCAGATACACCTGTGTAGGCTCAAGTCTGCATCAAACAGGAGCTGTCTGGAAGAGATGTATTTTCTTTAAGATAGTTGGGTCACAAGCCATCAGAAGTCTAATACATATCTATAACTCACTGTAACCTTGTGCATGGAAGTGCTGTGGTTAGTCATAGGAATGGGACAAACCTAGAGTGCACCCAGCTCAAAATCCCATCAGTTTGCTAACAGCCAGTGGTGAAGAAAGAACATCAAAAAAAGGAAGCATGTAGCAGCATTTGTCCAGCCTTTCCTCCCATTCTCCAATGCTCAGGGGCTTCCTGAGCTGGAGGTGGCATCTTTGCATGTAATAGATTTGCTAGGTTTTATTTCCATTTTCTTCCATTTTTTCCAGTCCTTGTTGAATCCAGACAAGGAGTTCCTCAGCTTAAATACATGTTGGGTGAAAAAGTGTGTCTTTTTAAGATGGGCATTTAAAACTTTTTCTTTAATTGCTATTGAGTGTTGTTGCAGTCATAGAACTAAGTACATACACCAAGATGTTGTTCCTGAAATGCTGTTGTGGTCCAAAAGCTCTCCCTATCTGCCCTAAAATGATGCTCAGAGCTCTGCTGCCCATTGTGTTTCATTCTGTTATTCTCAGCTGTGCTTGGTACAGGCATGTGTATTAAGTATAATTTATTCCTTCCATTTAAGGATGCAAAGGTTTCATTAGAAAGGGTCTGTGAGTGTGGTGACCACCTTTGGTGTCTCATCATGTAGGATGGTCATCGGTTGTTTTAGGACTTCCCCTGTGACAACATTGGTTTATATAGTTTCTTCCTCTGTTTCCTATAGGTTCATGAAAGTGGCTGGCAGCACGGTGGATGCTGTTACCTGGCAACAGTAGGTATTCATCATTCCTTCTACTTTCCAACACTAATTGCAGTGATCAAACAATGCTGGGAGCAGAGCTGATATGCTGTCTGGGTGTGAAAGGGGGCAAACGTGTGACAGCCACTTCCTCTGTCCTCCTGCTGCATTTAAATAGATATGAGTCTCTGCCCCTCCTTATGGAGTCTCTCGAACAAATACAGGAGGGGATATATTAACCTTTACCACTGTAGCTGAGACAGAGGCTAAAAATACCACTGCCTGTTTGCCTGGCCTGCCTGATTGCTGGAAACAAAGCCCTGCGCTGGACCACCGGGTCCCCAGAGGCAGCTGGGAGGACAGGCAGCTCTGGTGGTGGCTGGGGTGGGGATGGCAGGGAAGAAAAAGCCGTCTGTGGCAGATGTATGGGACTATCAGAAAGCCCTGTTCCTTTCACCCTAATCACTGTCTCTTGGTGACCGCAGGCCTGAAGCTAAATTGGGTTGTCCCAGAGGAGGGAGAGGAGCTTAGTCCAGTGGTAAATGCATAATGCCCCAGTCCCTGCTCTGCTTTGTAAGGGTCTCGGATGTTCATAGACATGCTGCAGTCCTACACTGCAGATGGAGCCCCAGGAGCAGATGTCGATGGAAAGGGGGTGAACATCCAAGATCCAGGCTCAGCTGGGGCTGCCAGAGAGATGCTGATATATGATTTTCCTCCTGGTTCCTACATGTGCTTCTGTTCAGAAGAGCAAAGCAAGCTCTGAGCTGTAGCACTGAGTGTGACAATCACCAAGTGGAGAGAAAGGTTTTCTTATTTGGAGGAGAATCCATAAACACCTTTTTTCTCCTCTTATTTCCAACTATCTCAGTTTGCACACTGTGGCCAGAGGTAGGCTCCCCAGCAGCCTGTGGTTCTCTGCAGTGGGAGTGCAAATGCCAGTGCAAAGGTGAGGCAATGGTCAAGCACAGCAGTGACTGACAAAATTGATAGAAAAAGGGTTTGTGGGGCAGACTCTCCTGCAACAGAAATTCAGAGGCAGGCCTTCACTTGAGAAAAAAACCTTGGTGAGACTCTCCTGTGAGACTCCCCTGTTTCCAGAAAAAATGGTTTTGCTCTGACACTGGGTTAAACTTCCCACATGGGGCACTGGCCTTGAGCACAGGAGCCAGGGTCTCGGGTCCAAGGTGGGCTTGTGTGTGCTGCCCACAGAGCTTGTTCCCCAAGCTGGTTCTTCACAGTGGCCCTTTGTGGAGTGCTCAGGTTGCTTTGCTGAAGTGCAGCAGTGTGGTTTGCAAAGCCCATCTCTTGTAAAGCCCACCTGGAGACCTGCTCTTTAAAAGAGCTCAGTGGATTTTAAGACATGAGGTTTTCTTGCAGGTGCACTCACAGTCTCTGGGTTGGTGTGTTAACCTTGGAGCCTCCTGCAGAAGCAACTGTTGGCATCTCAGAGTGGTTTATAGCACCAGGCATGACCAGCATACAGCAAGTCCCATTCCTCAAGGATCTGAGCTTGCCCTGCTGTGCCACAGTGTTGCTTGCTTGGGTGTTTGACTCCTCGGGCTTCCCTGACAGGCAGCGGCAGCTTTCAGCAATGGGGGCAGTGGGGTAGCAGAGCATTTGGAGCTGGATTTGTGTTACTTACAGGCTCATGCTGTGCAATGATGATCTATGTCTCAGCTGGGAGTTTGCTTTTCATGATTACACGATGTGCTGATCACATTTACTTAGTCCAGGAATTTGCTTTCTGCAACAGGGCTTGATCACTGGGCCAAGCCCTTGGATGAGTTGAAGGAACAAACTTCCAGGCTTCAGATGTAGAGTTTCATCCTGGTGTGCGGGGAATCTGACTGCACAACTGCTTTGAAACCTTTTCTTACAGGAGCAGTGCAAAGTGCTCAGCGGCTCTGATTCTGAGCGGCTGTGCTGAAGCAGCAATCTGCAAGCAGGAGGGCTGGTGCAGCTCCCTGCAAGGATCGGCAGAGCTGGGATGCTGTTTGCTGACCCACGTCCCTGGCAGCGTAGGAGGCACTTCACCCCCAGCCTGGGTTTGCAGCTCTGGAGATTGCACCCGTATGAGTTTGTGAGGACTGGCAATGGCCACAACTCCGAGCTGGGCTTCTGTACTGTTTATGAATAAATGTCAAAACAGTGTCTCATCCCTCTGCTCCAAACAGCAAAACAAAACAAAACAAGTTCCTTTGTATCCAAGAAGAAAATTATTAGCAGGAAACTAAACTGCTGTCTAACTTAAAGTATGAATATTTCTGTTCCAAACCCTAACGTTCTCCTGGGATATCGGTTATAAATTTGTCAAATCTGTTATTCCTTTGAAAAGGCTGCACTCAATCCAGAAAGGGAATTGAGAAGGGAATACTTTGCAGGGATCCCTATTCTCTGTGTGAAAACAGAATATATTTGAAATGTATCTGACAGAAAAGTGACACTGGGTGGAAATAAGCAGCCTCGCCAGCCTTTCTGAGTATGGTTTTGCTTACATATGTAACTCAGCATGTGTGCCTCCCTCTTCAGAAGTAATGTGTTGCTGGAGAGGGATGTGTGAATGGCTCAAAACTCTCAGGGAATTTCCACTAAAGGAGGGTGTGGCAGGTGGGACTGACAGTGGCTCAGAGAGTTTTGGCATTTCCCTGATAATTTAGTTTGTCTCTGGTGTTTGGTTATGAGTAAATGCTGCGTTTATTGCAGACCCCCTCAGCCTTTGGATGCAGGTTTCCACTGCTCAGAAACCTCCACACAGCTATCTTTTTGCTCAGCGCTGGTGTCCTCACACATGGTGAAGATTCACTACCCGCTTAAACCTGCCGCCGTGCCCAGTTCTGTCCCTGGGTGTGCTCTCTCAGGCTGTAGGACTGGTTTTCCATCAGAAGTCTTGTGCACAGCTCCAAATTTGGCATATTTAATGGGCAAATCGTTATGCAATGCTGCCTCTGAAGCACCAATCCCTATTACTTAGGGGGAAAGTAAATGTGTCTTCAAAGCCAGTGGACATCTACCCCTGTGGCTCCTTGGAGAATGCCATATTTTCTTCCAAGATGGAAAGTCACTTGCTCTGTGTGGCAAATCAGAGATGCTAGGCACATGGGCATGTGTGATATGCTGCTTAAAATGCTTTTGCTGGGCTTGGTTTGGGTGATATCTGTTCTGGCTTAGACATGTTGAGTGTGTAGGTGGAGATGCTCATGAGGCAGTTGCAGGGAACAGGTTTCCCAAAGGTGCCAGGGGAGAGTTGCCCAGCATGCACACACAGACCAATGTATATACCAAGGGTGTATATTTGGGCTTGTGTGAGCCTTCTGTGAGTGCTCAGAACACAGTGTCTTTGGAGGGTATGCCTGGAGGAAGGGGTTGCATGAAGAAATCACTGTCCCATTTCGACCTCTAAATAAACCTAGCTGGGCATGGCTTTTCCCACTGGCTTGGCATCCTCTGCACTGATAGAGGGCACAGTCCCTGGCAGCATTGTGGCTCTGGCCACCAGCATGGTCCCAGGTGATGCCAGGGTGTGGTAGGGAGATGGCATGGGCCAGAGATGGCTCTCACCAGCAGGATGGACAGAGGCACCTTGTCTCGGGGCAGAGAAAGGCATAGGTGTGAGTTGTGCCTTTGGGGCCAGAGAGCAGCCCACGGTCATTCTTTACTAGTGCATTAATAGTTGGCTGGAGGTGGGCAGTACCTCTCCTCTGTGCCCTCAGGTCTTTACCTGGGGGGAGCAGGTTGCATCCCACCTCTCCTCTCTGTGGGGAGCAGTGGGGCTGCCTGTGTCCTGTGCTGCAGATGAGGGCTCTGCCCTCTCCTCGGGAAGATGCTCAGGGATGGGGGTCACTCTGTCAGCAGAGGTGTCTCAGTTTCACAGTTGTGGTGACAGCGGGTGTCATGCTGACGGCAGGGATCTGCCCCACTCAGCGTCCCCAGCAGGCAAGTGCCCTAATTCCTAGCAGACTCTCCCCATAGCAGCAGGCAACAAAGTAGATCCGGAAATTCCTGAGCTTTGGGAAGTGGGCTTTAATATAATTAACTGCAACAGAAGAAGAGGTCAGATAATAGGGGCAAAGGTTTCTCTTTAAAATGAAATAGGAGGTAAATGAAACCAGCTGCCCAGGAGCTAGTGCACTGCCTTCATTAAACATGGGATGATGCTCATGGTCCCATGCACCAAATTGTGACTCTTTCCATAAAAACATTTTAAAGGCAGCACAAGACCTGGAGGTGACAGGATAAAGACATTGTAGGCAGCTACAGGTTTACCCAAGTGCCCTGGTGCCTGCCACTGTCCTTCTCTGGGAGGCACTGGGGAGCTTTGTGCATCCTGGCCTTGCAGCCTGCCCCAGAACAAGGGCATTTCTGACTGGCAGCTATGCTCATCCCTGCCTCAGTACTGTTCCCAGTTCTTGTCTTTGTGTCTCAAGTCTCATGCTACAGTTCCAGCCAGGGATGAGTGCTGGGAATTGAGGTGGTGCATTTCCTAGCACTTGCACAAATCCCTCCCCAGCCCTTGGCCAAGTCCTTCCCCTGAGCCTCTCCCTCTGGTTTGGCCACCTCCAGAATGATAGTCACACCTCCCTTTGCAAAGTGCACTGATCCCATCCCGGATTTCTAGGTCATATTCAAATGGAGTTTTTAGAAGTGGGGCTGTCTGTTCTCATGTTCTTGCAGATTGTCTGTCTGCAACAATAGTAGATCAATCTGGGGGACACAATGAGTCAGCTCTACATGTAATTGCCCCTATCTATTCTCTCCTATATTATGAGAAATGGTATGGTCTGTGCCCATGGTGGGCATGCTATTTCCTAGGCTTCAGGGCCAACTCTGGTGCTGCATCATACCAAACGCCCACTGGAAAATCTGCCAGCCTGTGTTGGAGACAAATAACTTGTCCATGACCTACATGTCCTCTGCCTCTGCAGAGTTATGGCTGCCAAAGACTCCTGCCCGTGCTGGGGAGGGTCTGTCCATTTGTCTCCTTTGGCACTCAGACCTCACTGGCACTGGGAGAGGAGGATGTGGATGCTGCCACTGCTGGGGCTGGCTCAGCCCGGCTGCCTGTGCACGGTGCTGCTGCCTGGGGAGGTACTTGTCAGCGTTGGAGCTCTGCAGCTGCTGCTGGCTTTTTTAGAGGTTGGAGAGTTGTGACTGTTCAGTTTTGTTTTTTTTTCTAAAGTCAAGTGCACTGAGTCATTGTAAATATCAGCAAAACTGCAGCCTTTGCTGCTGGGAATAATCCACGCCTAACAAGCACTTCTCCTGCTTTAAAGGCCTGTCAGTTGTTTGCATTTTGTGGATTTCTACCCTGCCTTTACTGATGGTTAAAGTTCTCAAAAGGAAGTGCCCTCGTCTCAGTGACAAAGCCTACAGCTGGAAATGGCTCACTGTTCCTGAGTATCTTGGTACCAGCGAAGACCGCAGTGCCTCTCTCTTCCTCACAAGCCTTGTGCAGCTGGTGCCGTTTTTACTCTTTCCCAGTCTGGGGAGGTTGAAAGTACCTATTGGTGCCCAAGAACTTCCCAGGCAGACCTGCAAGAGATCCTTGCCCATCTCACAGAAGCTTGTAACTACCTTCATGCTCTGCTTAAATACCCAAAGCCAGGATGCTCCCCTCCCCTCCTTAGTCCCCCAGGAGACATGCTACCAACAAGACTTCCTGATACTGAAGCAGGTTTATTTTTGTCTTTCATCCATCTACCAGTCCCTATTTCTCTGGGTTGTTAATGAAGGTGTCAAAAAAATGTGACCGTGACACTGTCGTGGGGCATTTCTCTTCCTTGCAGGGTCTCATCTGTGCTCAGAACAGCAGCATCTTCCCAGGCTGCCTCCTCCTTGCAGTCCCTGGCAGGGCAGAGCCTCCTCTGGGGCTGCTCCTGGAGAGGTGGTCCTTACCCTTGGTGTCAGAGCACCCCTTGTGCTTGAATGAGAGGATGAGGAGGTGCAAGCCTGCCTTTGCTCTCCGAGGGCTTTATTCTGGGCTCTGGGGCCATATTGGCTTGCACAGACAAGCCGAACCCTGCAGAAAGGCTGCTGCATTGAAGGGGCCATATGCAGACTGAGGTCTCTCTAACTACCTCTTTTCCCAGTCAGTGAAACCTTCTTTTTATGGCCTTTCAGCCAGTTTTCGGCCCAGGTGATGGGGTTTTTAGTCCACAGCAGTCTGAAAAAATTGTTTCTGTTCAGTTCTTAAGTGCTGTGCTAAAATCCAAACATCTGCCATCCCCAGAGTCCATTGCTTTGTAATTTTGTCTTAAAAAGTAATCTCTGTAAACCCCACTGCTGCCTGCTGCTTACAGATCTGCTTTCCTCCCAGCAGCCAGTGGTTCGATAGTGTATAAGTGATCGGAAAGATTTTGAACACTTCCTAAATTCCACCTGGAGATACTCTCTGCCCTTAGCACCTTCCAGTCACCACAGAACGCCTCTTGCCTCCTTCCCCGGGTTACACAATGTTGGAGTGAAATTGTGGTGTGGCTGGCATGATTCATGCTTTGCTGGGGACACAGCTGGCACCACACGCCTGGAGGAAGGTTGACAGAGGAGGTTCTTCTCATTTAATGCATTTGCAAATTGAGCCTGTAACACGTTTCTGTTCTGGGAGAGTGCTGGCATTGTTCCCCTTTCACCACAGCCCTGCACTGCTCCAAGTGCATTTACTCTGTTACTTGGGTAGTGACTTGGAGCAATGAGACACAAAAATCCTCTCTGAACACTCATGCATGTTTCACATGTGCTGGGTGCTCTGGCTGAGGCTGAGTTAGCTCATGGCATCCTTGGGCAATGCTCCTGCATTCCAGCACCCAAGTTAAGCAGCCACCACGGCCACTACAGCTGCTTGCTGGTGTGGATGAGATGCATGTTATGGAGAAATCAGCCCTGGAAAGGTGAATCCGCCTTTCTTCAGACCTCAGGTCTTCAGCCCGTTACACATCCCAGCACCCATGGTTGCACTGAAGTCTGTGGAGAGGGAGAAGGGTCTGTGTAACTCTGGTGAATGCCGAGTAGACATTGCTCCAGTGAGGGAGAGGCAATGGCTGAGCCTTTCCAGCCCCAGCCAGAGCTGCTGTAATTCCCATGCCCTTCTGTCCCCCCAGCACAGCTCCAACACACCCTGGGGCTGGCCGTGTCAAGCAGCTGATGCACGCTGCAGATTTGGGAGAAGGAAGTTCAGAAAGTTTCTCTTGCAAAACCTATCTATCAGCCAAACGGCTGTCCCAGGGGTATGCCAGTGCATGCTGCAGCAGGCATCCTGGTGTCCCTGCAAGTCTGGGAGGAGCCTCTGGGAGATGTGCAAGGGCTGCCACTGTTCCCTGTGAGGGGACAGAGGTGCCAGCCCAGGTACTTCCTCAGGAGGAGCTGGTTGGGATTACGTCCAGCCACAGGGTATTTGCACTCCAGGACAAACGGCTTCACCTTATGTCCTGGAGCCAGGAGACACTATTGAGGTATTTCAGAGCCTTCCCCCCACACTTAAGAGACAGATGATTCACATCATGATTGGTAGCACTATAGCTGTGTTTTATATAAGCAATCATATGAAGAGCAGAAATCAGCTTGCTGATATTTCCATACAGAGGTATGGGAAATACTCCCTGGCATTCCCAGGGCAGAAGGGATTTCTGTGAGAGCAGGACTTCCCCTGCAGCTAACAGCCATGGCATTTCTTGAGTGGGGGATTCAGCTGTGGATTTTGTTGGAAGAGCGAGCGAGGAAGATGCACGTGGTGCAGGGGTGCTGGGGGCAGGGCTTGCTCTGGTGCAAGGTGCTGTAGGTCCTCAGCCTGTACACTCCACAGTCACTAACCCTCGCTCAGAAACACCATCAGTGTGTAGCCTGGAGGGGTGTTATTGCAGCAGGGCGTCCACAAGCAATTCTGGTTCTCAGACCAGAAGAGGCTCTGCACAGTCTCACCTGCAGACCAGCCACTGAAAGGAGAGTCTCTCGTGACCTGGGCAGAGTGATGCAGTTAATCCCACAGCTGGGAACACAGGCAGCCTCCTCCATCCGCTTCTGGGTGCTTACTGCAGCAATTTCCAGTATGTCTCAGACAGGGTATTTGCCAGTCAGGACCCTTCTTTCTGGTGTCTGCATAGTGTCCTCCTGTGGCTTAAGGGGCCCTTTGTTTCAGCCATTAGATTTACATCTTCCATTTTGCCATCCCGTAAAAGCAATCTTTCCAGTAGCAATGATACCGGGCTGAGGACTGACTGGCTTATCTGCATTTTGAAAAAGTGTGTCCCTAAGACAGGACGGATACAGGCAGGACAAGCCAGGTGAGTGGAAGATCTTTCAAGATCTCCCTGGTCATGGAGCCCAGGTGCTGCTATCACAGGCATCATGTTGGAGGGTCTCTTTTTGTAGTGTGTCCGTGAGACCAGTGAAAAGGGTGCTGCAAAACCTTTGTGGGTGGAGTTTTGCTCCCAGCCTTTGGTGTTCTGCTCCCAGCATTTAATCAGAAATAGTTAAGAAAGTGCAAAACTTGCTGTGGTTTCTTCAGTGTAGAATGTTCAGCATTCAGGGTGCATCCACCTCACACCTTGTTTTGGAGACTGAAAGCATCTGCCAGACTCAGGCACAGCCAGAGAGCCGTGGCAGGGCAGGGTGCAACCAGGGACTCCCTGGTACAGAGGACGCTTCTCGGCTTGAGACAGAAGAGGGACAAGAGGACATGATTTGGAGCAGAACTCCTCCCATCTGTCTGATCCTTGTCTTCTTATTTTCCTTCCAGTTACTACATTGATGGCCGAGTGGCCAAAGTGACGGACTTCCTGAAAACACGGCTGTTAGACACACTCTCTGACCAGATCAGGAAAATCCAGAAAGTGCGTGAGTGCGAAGGTTCTGCAAGGGGTGAGGGGGCACCATGTCCATGGTGCCTGGCCTTGGCACAGCTTGTGGCCAGGGCTCTGGCCTCAGCACCGACACGCTCCCAGAGGAGCTGGTGTGGGGCAGGGATGGAGGGTGGCTACTGAGGTGGCTGTGCTTGCAGCCTAAATGCAGGGAATGGGTGGAAGGACCAGGCAGCACGATGCCTGGCCCCAGTATGGGATGTGCAGTGGGTCAGGAGGGAAGCAGCCACAGGTGCGGCACGTGCGGGTGTGCCAGGCTGTGGGCTGGGTGCACAGGACAGGAGCAGACACTGCTGTGCAAAGCCTTTCTCAAGCAGCTGTCTGACTTGAGTCTCCCATTTGTCCGTTCCTGAAGGGAGCAGCATGTAACATGGGTATTCTCCAAAACTTGCTCCAGGGGACAAGGAGAGGAGGAGGCTCCTACTGCAATGTCTTGCCCTGCTTACTGTCAGTGACTAAAAATGTTGCTTGCAACTAAAAGTTGTGACAGTTGCATTTCCAGGACGATTTTCACTAGTAGAGAATCATGATAATTATGAACAACTGTTTTTTTTTCCTTGATGATCATGTTATAAAACCCAGCTGTTGCTGGTGTGCTGTGTCAGAGCCCACAGCTCTGCCTGGCCAGTGCAGCCTGCACTCCTCTCCCTGCCAGTCGGGGGGACCTGGATTGCATCTCTAGCAACAGGGTAGGTGATGGGGTCTTCATAGGCTCCCCCCACTTTGGCAGGTACAGGGGTCAGGGCTGTGACTAGCCCACTCAGCTGTCAGTCCCAGAAGAAAAAAGGAACCTCTAGTAAGTGCGTAAGTCTTTAGGGACTAGAGATGTCCATCCATCTGTCTTGTCTAGGTTTTCATACCATACCAGTCACCACAATGTCTTACTGTTGAAATTCCTGCAGAGAGAAACCATAGGATGAGTAAACAACTCAAAGAGGCCCCAGGAAAGGGGATGCAAGGGTTGGCACAGCAAAACTGGAGGAGAGGAGCTGCTTGCTGAGTCCTCTGGCACAAGTTGGGAATTGTCCACACATGTGAATGATTCTCCTGCTGTTGGGAGGCATGGCTGGGCAGCCAGTGGGATCAGCGTGGGGGCAAGCAAGAGGCACCTGCTGACCCCGCTCCCACTGGGGATACAATACCCCACCAAAAGTGGTGGCACAAGTCCCACTTCTGCTGAGGGTTGGGAACCTGTTGGGAAGGGAGCAGGACACCATCCAGACCAGAGGCAGCAAGGAGCCACCCTCAGTGTGGGCTGGGGGAACCCTCTCACCCACAGGGCAGGGTTTGGTTTGCACAGGGCAGTGCTGGGGAAGGGCTCTCCCGGGAATGCCAGTGTGGCTGAGCAAAAGCACAGCACTGGGTGCTAATAGCCTCCAGCTTGGCTTTGAGTCCGTGCATCCTGCCGGGGCTGATTAGAGCAGCTGGGCTTGTCCACTTGCCTGTTTTATTGCTTCCTTTCTGACGGGGGAAGGTGGCGGGCTTAGATAATTATAGGCAGGATGCCAACACCTCTGGGGCTTCAGTCAGGGATGTCGACTCTCACAGGCTGTGAGTGGGAGGCAGCCCAGAGCTGGCGTATTTAACATCTTTGAGGGATCCCAGTCCATCTAGCACATTCCAGCGCTCCTCACTAATGGGGCAGGATCCATCAGGCTGCGCGGAGCTCTCCTCAGGCTGCTGGGTTTGCAGACATCTGGTCGCAGGAACTCATCGCCCAACCTAGAGAAGTGGGATTGCGGGAGAGAGGACAGGGTGTTGTGTGGTGCTGGAGGGTGCTTGTGCTGGGAGAGGGCAGCTCCAGTCATCCAGGCCCTCCTGTCCTACCTGACATCTCATGGGTGTTTGTGCTGCAGCTGGAGCCTTGTAAGGGGTGGGCCAGCATGCTTGGACATGCATGTCTTGCCTGTGCCAGGGACCCCTCGGGAGGCGAAGCAGCCCCTGTTCAGCCATGGGGCTAGCTCTACCCATGTCTAGGGGCTTTCACTGCTTTCTTCTCGGGTGCCCACCATTCCTTCATGTGACTCCACTATGTCCTAGTCCTCTCACGCCATAGAGCCACTGGGGCTCAGAGCTCTCTGTGGCTGGCAGCCACCTTGTGTGGGGACATGGAGAGCTGAGGCAACGTGGCAGGGCAGCCTGTGGGATGGAGTGCGTGGGGAGACCATGCGGAAAGAGTAGGGTCTGGATTTGGGAGCATGAGAGCATGTTTGGGAGAGTGTGTTTGGAGCATCTCCAGAAGATGTGTAGTGAACATGTGGCAGTGGCAGAAGAGAGTGAGGAAGTCTTCCACCACCCAGCCATGGAAGGCACCTAGTGATCATGCCAGGGCCAGGCAGGCACTGACTGCCCAGCAGCATCATTACCAAAGGTCTCCATAATTCTCTCCAGGGTGTAGCACAGGAGATGTCTGCCTTGGCTTTAAATCACAGGTTGATGAAACTCATTTTGGTTGCTTTTGTCTCCCACGCAGGTAGTGAACACATACACACCAGGGAAGAAGATCTGGCTGGAAGGTGTTGGTGCGACTTCGGCTGGAGGCATGAACAACCTCTCCGATTCCTATGCGGCCGGGTTCCTGTGAGTTATGCCAGCTTGCCAGTGCTGGGGCACTGCTACCCCTATGGGCTCTGCAGGCTTCAGTGCTGTAAAGCCACTGTGGTTGGGAGAGGGCCAGCTCTGGGCCCAGAGACACCACCTGTACCCCCTTGGTACCCCCCAGCAGCCTGGGGACCATTGTTTTCTCCATAGCATCCCTATTACCCCTCCTCAGCTCTGCTTTCCTGTAGATGAGCCAGTCTCTGGCATGCCCAGAGAAGCGGAGTAAGGAGTGGACAGTGCGGGGTCCCACACCGGTACCTATGGTGTGCTTGCAGGGTATGGGTGTGGAAGGGAGGTATGGTCCGAGCACGCCAGCTCTGGGACCCCAGGGCTGTCATCCCGACAGGCTTGCCTCGCTTGGCAGCTCAGGATTGCCCGGCCCTTCACCTGCTCTGCATTTTTGGTTCAGGCTGCATCCATGTGTCCTTGCTTGCATTCACTCCTGGGGCATCTGCCCAGAGAAGTGCTCAACAGGGCTCTGCTCTGGAAACCATTTTTTCTCCTTCTTCAAAGCTGTAAGCATTCCTGGCTCCTGGGGCTTGCCTACTGGCACAGGGCATCTTGCTGCAAAACTCCAGTTCAGCTCTTCAGAGCTGGCTGTGGTCATGAAAGATGGAGGAAGATTATCCAGGCTTTGTGGGGGAACATGGGGAAATGCCCAGGGTATTAGGGCTGTGACAAGCTGTGAGGGTTGAAGATTTTCCCCTGGGACTGTGAGGAAACAGACTGGTGCAAAGGTCCAGTTCTCTTTGCTGAGACAGCAGGTGCACAGTGCTGGCAGGCTGGGGGAGCACCCCAGGTTTGGGGCATAGGGCTGCAGTGCTGGGGTGCATGCAGGGTCTCAGACACCGTGCTGGGACATGCAAGCCAGGCACAACTAGGTTGGAGGTGGCTGTGGTGGGGGGAGAGGTGTGCAGGCTTGCTGGGATAGGGGTGGTGGAAGCTGGTTAATACCCAGCTCACAAAACCACCTGAAGGCTTGAGCTCAGGTGCTGGGGGCAGGCACCAGGTCAGGTGCATGAGACTTAACGCCTTGTGCTGGAGCACAGCTATGCCACTGGGGCCAGGGGGTCCCCCTGCGGTGGCCTAATTCTGCTCCCTCCATCCCCAGGTGGCTGAACACACTGGGCTTGCTGGCCAGCCGGGGCATCGACGTGGTGGTGCGGCACTCCTTCCTCGACCACGGCCACAACCATCTGGTGGACCAGAACTTCAACCCCTTGCCGGTAGGTCTGCCCGGGGGCGTCGTGCTGATGCTGGCTTCTCCCCGCTCATTTTGTGGGGATTCTTTCCTTGTGACCTGTCTGAACTCTGCTTGAAAATCAATTTTTCCAGATCTGTTTCTTGCAGTGTTAATAGGAGACGTTAGTTCATGTCAAATGCAACATGTTGTAGGCAGATGAGAGAGCGATACCTCTGTAGCTCAAACTTCATCTAGTGCCCAGGCTTGGTAGCATGGTAGGGAGGCTTGTGCCTCTGAGGGATGCCAGCACAGACTGTGGTGTCGGAGAGAGGGAGCAATGTGGCAGGACCACCATGCATGGCACAGGGTGGGCAGCTGGATTGTTAGTGGTGAGCGGGCCCGGGGGAAGCCAGGCTGGAGCTGCATCTCAGTCGGCTCTACCTACTCAGTCAATGAAAACAGCATCCCTGCTACAGCATCCCTGAGTGTCAGGGCAGGATGCGGGAGGTGTTGGTGAAATGAAGTCTGTGCTAACCCTCACAGCATGGCCTGGTGGGTGTCTCTGGAGAGCAAACCAGTGAGCTGGAGACTATGGTCCCCTGCTTGTGCTGCTCCGGGTATCTCCAGGAGCACTGTGGGCTGCTGCCACACGCTCCCCTCCAGCAAGACCTGTCAGCTCTGGGGTCCTGGGCTGGGGGGATATTGGGGGACCTTGAACATTGTTTGAGATGAATCTGAGACTGGGGCAAGCGCTTAATGAATCTCTTTGGAAGAGCCAATTCCCCTGGCCAAGCCATATCACCCCCCTCCGCAGGGCCTCAGGGCCCCCCCAGATTGCTCTCAGCTGATGGGTGCAAGCTAGCTCCTGCCTGCCGTGCAAGTGGGGACAGCAGGTGGTCCGTGTCCAGTTCTCTTGGCACAGGAAGGGCAGTGGGTGGCCCGTGGCCAGCTCTCGTGGCTCAGCAGGGGTAGCAGCCCCAGAGTGGCTGGAGCAGGCGTGCAGTTAGGAGCTAGATTAAAGCCAAGAGAGGAGTGAGAGGAATAAACCCTGGGCTGTTAAACAAAATGGAGGTCTTTAAAATAGATTTTGCTGTTGTTTTAAAGATGTCTCCCATAAGTTAGATCCTACCCCCCTCATGACTTTTTCCTCACTCTCTGATATTCTTCAGTGTTGATCTCATGTCCCACCACTGTGCTTCTGCACAAACTCCAGTGGGTACTTCCCCAACCCCTTTTCTTCCACTCATGTGCTATGAAGGAGCCACAGGCAGGTACAAACTAACAGGGGGTTTAAAAACTGCAAACACCAAAAAACCTGGTGAGACCGAACTGTGACCTGCTCTGTGGGGCAGCGGCTGCTCTTTTCCCGTGGGAGCTATCAGGGAGATGAAAGCCTCTGGCTGTACCTGCGCAGGGCCGCGGCACTGTGAAATACAATCTGCTCATTAGCTGCCACGACAAAGAGGTTTCTGCACACCGGCTGGGCGTGAGGCAGCTGCCTGCTGAGAGAAGGGCCGTACTGCCACAGCATCAATCGTGCTCCAGCTGGCAGCTCCTCCAGGAGCCAGGGCTGGGCTCCCCTTAGCAACCTTTGCACCTCTTCCTCTTCCCCTGGCACTACTGATCCCTGCTTGTCAGATAAGAAGATGGTGTGGTTTGGGATGCTGAGCTGAAGCTGAGTCTTTTACAGCAGTGTCCTTAGGTGCCAGGTAGCTGCATGGTCCAGGGAGAGTTTCCTGCGTGGTCCAGGGATGGTGCAGCGATACAAATACAGCCCTCCATCCTTGTGCTAAAGAGCTTCCCATATCAAACTAAGTGATTTGTAATACATCGCTGTACGAGTACTGTGCTACTGCCATGTGAGCCCTCCTTCCTGTCCTTCAGCTGGGCCCCTCGGATGCTTCTGGTCTTGCTCCTGTTAGTACTGTCTCTGTTAGAGCATATTACAGTGGGTGGCATGAGGAAGCTTGTAAAATGTGGTGTGGGTGCCATGTTGGGGATTGGGGAATGCAGATAACAGAGGTCATGTGGTGGGGACCGCTGTGGGAGTCTCAGCTTCTAAACCACCACGTTTCTTTCTGCCTCTTCCCCAGGGACTGCAGCACTGGGGGGATTTGTTATGTACAAGAGAAGGAGCAGACAAATCACTGCACTGCTCTATGTATAGCAGGGTGATAGTTGCTGTCATGGGCCATGCTGCTAGCGAGCAAGGGGTACCAGCGCTCTGGGCATGGGCACTAGGTAGCAAACTCGGGCAGCCTGGTGAGGCTTGCTCTGTGTTTTCTGAGGATTAGCCTTGGCTTAAAAGTCAGCTTGTAAACTCTGGCCATGTAAACTGGTGGGAAATGCAAGAGCACCTGGAAATAGCTGCTTGCAGGCAGGAATGCAGTGAAACCTTGAAAGCAGAGGTTTAAACTGGCCTATGCCCTGGCCATGGTGGCTTACCAGTGTAATGCAGCCTGGCTCCCCAAAAATGGTCTCAGGTGCCAGCAGTGTGGCCAAGGGGCACTGCAACTTCACGGTGAAATGAAGGAGACACACTTGTCTCTACTGGGCTTTCCACACACAGCTGGCTTATGAGCTAAGCAGTGTCTTATAGCTTCTGAGTCAGTTTGCAAGGGGCATGGCCTTTGGGCACCCATCCAGGTCCTTCACTCATGAAAGAGCAGCTCTGAGTGCCCATCCTGGCTGCCAGAATTGCCCATCCACCCTCTCCTCGGAGATGGCGCCCTCTAAGTCCATGTGAGGGATGGGTGCAGCAGGGGAAGGCAAGGTTGTCTCTCTGAGCCTCCCTCCAGGTGCAGATCTAAGGAAGTGGGTTTCTTTTGTCGGACTAATGGGAAGCAGAGCAGGAGAAACTGGGCAACATGAGGTTCCCTGGCCTTCACACAGATGTGATCAGGCTGGGGAATAGAAATGTTCCAGCTGACCTTAATGCAACTGAGCTGAAGTGTTTTAATGCCTTGTTATTTTTGAGATAACGTTTTCATGTATGGTTGGAGTGCTTTGCCTTCCTGAGTGATTGAGGCAGCCAGCTGTATAATAGTCAGGGCTTGTACTTGAGAAGCCCTTCAAATAAAACCTTTCACAGGTATGTCAGTCTGCCTGTCTGCACCTAAACCCATCTGTACATGTGTGTGGGAGTGAGGAGCAGAAGAAAGGACGGCAGAAGCAGCACTGATATTCACCCTTCAGAGGGCAGTGCCTTTGAAATGCCACTCTAGCATTTAGTAGCTCTAGGCTCATTTCAGGCATGCAGTGTACATACTCCATCTCTTTCCTTAATATCTCTCTGAAACAGTCCAGAGGGATACAATACATTTATTTCACTGGAGAACCCCCCAGGTAGGTGTGAGCTTTCTCTTCAGATTGTTACAGCATGCTAAAGACCTTTCTGAATGCTCTTCCACTTGCCTGGGTTTTATCCATTCTTTGTAGTAATTTCTGCTCCCTTAATGCACAGTGCTGTAAGGTTATACCTATGCATGGAAAACTGGGCATATTTCTATGCAGAACCCAAGCAACACAATCCCCATGGAAAAGCTAAAGCTGAAATCCAGGATTCCATTTCCTGATAACTGTGGCTCCTCTTGGACCTTCTCCTAAAGACTGTGAATGGTGAGATACTTGGTTCTCCTGAGTTAGGCAGATGCTAAAACTTCTTTTCTGACTATAAGTTTTATACACAGCATGAGAAAGGCCCAGAGGAATCACAGAGTGAAGAGACAGCAGGGGCTGCCTGCTCAGCTGTGGTAGTAGAAGACAACATGATATTGCCTGTGAATTGATGGCGTCCTTGAGAAAGCATCACAGCGGTGCAGAGGTCTGTGCCTGACAGTGCTGTGGTCAGATGCCTGGATGCTGCAGGTGATTTTTCACCTCCTTTGCTTAGTCCAAAGGCACTGAAGAACTTGTTGGGAAAGTTACTGTCTGTCTTGGAGGAGAAAGGACCCCAGACTTGGATCGGGTCTGTCCTTAGTGATCTGTCCCCTTCCTAACCAGGCTTTCATAAAAGCCATGGTGTGAATGAGCTCAGTGCCAGGCCGTGGCTGTCCCTGACATCCCTCAAGGTCCCTAGGGGAGAGCCATGGTGTGAGCCATGCCCTTGGGCTGCACCTGGTGTTTGGGTACCAATGGCACCTGCCCCACACGTCCTGAACACCTCCCCAATAGGACACGGGCTGGGACCCCAGTCTCTGGGTGCTAGGGAGGTCCTGTGCTGGGTAGCAGGGGTGGAAGTGGGTCGCCTGGCCACACTCCTGCCTGCTGTATGTACACACTCCCTGGTGCACTCATTAGCTGAGCAGGCTTGGCCAGAGGCATTGCTAATTGCAGCTGGAGGTCCTAGCCATCTCCCCGGACAGTGCCTCTCCTGCTCCTGCGCTGCACAGGAGGGGGCTCTCCCTAGCTCAAGGCTGCAGGGGCCAGGTACTCGCCCACCTGCACCCATCCCTACCGTGCCATCCACTTGCCTGGTGGCTGCCTGGCTGCTGGGCTTGGCAGTGTCCAAGGGGTGTAGAGGAGACTGGCATCCATAGCAAGAAGATTATGGAGAGCCCTTTCCTGCAAGCACTCCCATTCCCACCACTGAGCCCAGCCAGCTGGCTGTGGGGCCGGGGGAATTCAGCCCTGCTGCTGCACCGGCCCATCTGCACGCCCAGCAGTGAGTCACTGTGCTGCACTCAGGCAGACAGCCGAGCTGCCAGGGGTAGGACTGCGGCTGCTGTTCCCCCCAGCAGGGACCCTCAGCTTTGTGGTCACTGTTGGGGAGAGGGCAGCCAGGTCAGGCTGCAGTGTGCCATGCATCACGCAGGCAGAGGCACTGTCCCAAGCCTGGGAGTGTCAAAGGGTGGGGAGAGGGAGCAGGTCCAGTGGAGCTCGCATACAGATGGAAACTGTTCTGATGACTGTAAATCTGCCACGCAGGCGTCTGGCACCCCCATCTGCCCCGCATGTTGGAGCACTGGATCTGACAGGAGCAACGCCTGCAGATGAGGAAGGGGTGGGAGAGGCGAAGATGGACAGGAGCTCTTGGTATGGGAT